CAAGACCTACGGGACTCAGCACCTCCCGGACGACGATTACACGACCTTCAGTAGCGGGATTCAGCACCTCCCAGATGAAGATAACGGGATTCAGCACCTCCTGAACAATGACAACGGGATTCAGCACCTCCCAGACGACGATTACAAGACCTACGGGACTCAGCACCTCCCGGACGACGATTACAAAGTCTACAGCAGCGTGATACAGAACACCCTGGTCGAAGCGAAGAAGATTGGTTACGCGGTTACAAGTACCGACAGCGGGATTTAATAAATCCCGGGCAACGAAGTGAAGATTGAAGTCTCCCGGAACCCTAGTAGACCTCCGAAAGAGTCCCTGGTATCCTGGACGCCTTGCCCACGAGATGAGATTTTGTCCCCCGACCCCCGAACGGCATCTGGACGATTTGTCTTCGCCGGAGCTCAGACTTAAGAAGGGGAAAATGTCACGGGGTGGGATTCGGACGTTCCGGATCTCCCAATCAGAGACCGGATCTCAGGGACCTAGATTATCTATTAGTCTACCTCTTCTCCTGAGCTAAATCTACTAACTCGACTTTACATTTTGCCTCGAACCTCACACTTGGAGCGTGTTCTCTCTGCTTGCCTGCGCCGCGCCTGCCCGTCAAAATGTCGCTAAACCCCCTGACACACACACTGCTCAGTGGGTCCGCGGGTATGTAAATAATCGATCCCCTTGCGCATTCAGCCATCCGTTAGTACCGCTAGCAAGGTTCATTCTATATCTAGGCACTACATAAATCACGACTATAGAAGATGTCTTACAGAAGCAGCACGAAGCACGATATACGTGGAACTTTGGCGGCTTGTGGCGTAGACTGGTTGCTGCGGGAGTCTGGTAGCAAGCAGTACAGTTCACACGACTGCTCCAGGCCACGAGGCCTGAAGCAATCGTTCGAGGTTTAGTCCCATGTATGCGTATAGCTACTCGCAGTAATAATAAACACTATATCCTGATTCGCGTCCGCTTCATGCCATCAATCGGTGGTTGGTCATAGGGCCGTCGATAAGTTTAAGGTATTTCGTGATTTCTTTCATATGTCAGTTTAATTAACCAATCACATTGCTAATAGTCACACGTGTCCAGAAATTCTCATAACGCACTGTCTGCCGAAGTGGATCTCGCTGTGTAACATACTCAATATTCAATTTAGCAAATCTCATGTGTCCTTCAGCAGAAATTATGTGCGATTCAGCAATTCTTATGTTGCTCTCAGCAATTCCTATGTGGTCCTTAGCAATTCTTATGTGGCAATATTTTATCCTCGTAGTGCGCATTCGGGGATTGCGCAAGTTTGTTCCAAAGATGCTTGTCCACGGCAGTGTCGATAAGAGCTAGGTTGAAAGTAGTGTCGAACGCAGACACCTTGTTCAGGTTGGCAATGTATGCCTTGGGGTCAAACGTCAAGGTGGGGTACGTTTTGGGATTCTTAGGCCCCCCCAAGAGGTGGATGAGATGGGACAACTTGTCCTTTGCGTTGGCCCAAGTTGCGTCATCGAGCCATTCCGCACTGTCCAGCCTGGTCATGAAGGCCGCTTTCAGCTTCAACACGAGCAAGTTAGCCTCCGCGGCAGTCTTGCGCGTCCACACTTCCTTGAGATAGTACGAGCCTAGTAGTTCGCCAATGGACGTCTCCACCTGAGTGCGGCAGATCATGGCCCGCGACGGGGGTTCTTTGAGGCCTTTAATCACCTTGTCATAGAAGTCCGAGTGTGCTTTCACAAACTGTGTTGACAGGAACGGCGCGTTGAAGTCGAGAACTTTGTACTCGATAATGGTCTTGAGGTCGTCGACGGACATGTCGCTTAGCAACCAGTCTAAAACCTCCAAATAACGGTGCAACTTCACAACGACCGTGGTCGTGTTGGACCCTTCGCGGACGTCGAACCCAAACCCTTGCAATTGAAGACCTACCGTCCGTGGGTACAACGCGTTGGCGGCGCTGAGCGACAACTGGATGTTGTTGGACGTCACGACCGATTGGAGCCTGCGATGGGACAGAACTTCCCCGGCACTGGTGCGTAAAAAGAAAATCACGACGTCGGTGGCCGCCTCCGCCTTCGCGTGACCGACCAGCGTGAAGATCGAGGCAATGTAGTTGCGGTACGGCTCTTCAATATTGGCCCACTGTGGTTGTGGAAGGCATTTCGGTCAAACGGGAATTCGGAGTGTTTGGCACTCAAGACGTTGCGGGTAGTTGATGGCGTCGGGCGAGACCGACAGTTTCACGAACACCGGTACGCCGGTGGCCTTGGAGATGGTTGCGCCGCGAAAGATGGCTTCGCCGGTCGAGTTGGCGCTGCGGATGGCCTTCAGGTGAACTTCGATGGGAGCCAAGCCCAAGGTGTCTAAAGTGGCAGTGTCCATACACGCGTCACAGAACTCGGCGAGTTTAGGCAGCTTGGCGTACAACAACTTTTCAATCAAAATCAAGTATTTTCGGTCAAACGGGAATTCCGAGTGTTTGGCACTCAAGACGTTGCGGGTAGTTTCGATGGCGTCGGGCGAGACCGACAGCTTCACGAACATTGGTTCGCCGGTGGCCTTGGAGATGGTTGCGCCGCGAAAGATGGCTTCGTCGGTCGTGTTGGTGCTGCGGATGGCCTTGAGGTGAACTTCGATGGTGTGTTGTTTCCCACACCAGTGCCAACACAAACAACCAAATGGGGGAGTGCCGACTCCCTGCAAACCACACACTTGATTGACTTGATGGTAGCACGGCGTTGCAGAACCAAGAGTGAGATCCCTGCAGTTGGCTGGGACGTGTGTTCTGTTTTCTACGTCCTAGTACTATTAGTAATACTATGCCTTTTGGTGTCGGTTCGCCAAGAGTCGGCACCCGGTGGCCTCGGTTGAGGACCACCTGTGTCATGGCGGGACATGGATTAAGTCGCCCACCACAGCACCCCCAATGTCCCGCAGGACACACTTGGTCCTCGCTAATTCTTCGCCCTCTCTCGCTTCATCGCCTTGCGCAACGCATCGCCTTCGCTCGCTGTCTTCACGCCTTCAACGTAGTTCTTCACCACGGCCGGACATTCATGCATGAACTTCTGCAGCGGTTCCCACGAGGACTCGATATCTTGAAAACCTTCCCAAAGCACTTCCAGCATGAAGTCTTTCAAATCCGGGACAAACTTGTGTCCCGCGATGGACTTGACCTTCAGCATGATCCCTTGCTCGGAAACGTGTTCAAGGATTTCTTTGGTCACTTCAAAGCTGTCTTCAGCGTAGAGCTTGACTCTTGATCCATGTGCTTCCCGCAGTTCGTGGGTCACCAAGTGCTCCAAAACGACGGAGAATTCGCCCACTTCCTTGACTCGGTAGGGCCCCTCCAGGTTACGAGCAGCTTGGGGTGATAGCGTTCGTTGATGCGGGACCAGAGCACATAGTCGCCTTCGCTGACATTGCATTGTTCGTACTTCTCGGTCGCTTTCGCCGCGCGCATCGCATTCTTGTCTAGGACTTCTTTGTGCATGTCTTGCAGGCTAGCACGCAGGTTGTCCAAGTATTTGGGGATGTCCTTGACCGTCCAGTCGCTCTCTCGGAGTTCCTTGTTCATGCCCACAACGACGTCCAGAGGAGTCACCGGGTTTAAAGCCGTGAACTGTTCCATTGGCGACTTGCTCGCCAGTGATGCTGCCGGTGTTTGGTTGAGGTTTGCTTGGACCACCGGTAATAGGTAGTCCCATTCTTGCTCGGCTAGCTGGTACTCTCTTAGCATGACCCGCATCAGTTGAAGGATGTCAAGGTTCATCCGCTCGACCATTCCATTGCGCCAGGGGCAGTAGGCCAAGGTTAGGTCATGATGTACCTTGAACTTGTGAGCTAGCTCCTTCATGGCCACGTTTTTGAATGGGTTCCTTGGTCGCTGACCCAGACTCGTGGCATTCCGAACCGCTTCGTCCAGTCCACCAGGGCATCCACACATACTTGGCTTGTGGGTCCATCGCATGCAATGAGTTCGCAGTAGTGTGTAAGGTTGTCTTTGAGTACCAGCACGTACTTAGCGCCGCTGAACGCTTCGCCCATGTAGAGGTAGTCGAAGTGGATTCCTTCGTTGCGCTCTTTCGCGTGCCATCTCGGACATACGGTCGATTGACCACACTTCCCCCTTTTACATGAGGGCACAACAAGGAGCCACGGAGGAATTCACTGGCCCTGTCGGCCAAGTGGTCGACATAGAACAGGCGGCGGATAGTAGCCACCAGCGCTGCATGTCCACGATGCCCGGCGCTGCCGCAGTGGGCAACGACCATGACCGTTGGATCAGGTCATTCGCCGCAATCGTCCACCACATATGGCCACACAAAGTCCTTGTCCAGCGACCGAAGTTTCGGTTGTGCCGGTGGGGGAAATTTGCGTGTTTTGACTTTCTTTGACCAGCCATGGCCCGGTCGCCAGACTTGGTGTCGGCTGACCCCAACGGCTCATCATATCCGCCCAAAGATTGTGGATGCCGTCAATGTGTATGATTTCATAACGATAGCCGCCAATAATGGCAGCCCATCGCACGAATTTGCCGCGTGTGTGCGCCTTCCATTCTTCGCCCGGGGCAAAGACATGGATGAGGTTCTTATGGTCATAGTACATCTTGAACCCCGTGGGTCGCATAAGCATGTGCTTCTCGCACGCACGCGCAATAGGGTAGGCCTCCTTTTCGATGACTGACCACGCCTTCTGGGCGCCCGCAAACACCCCCGACTGACACAAGAGCAGTACTCTTCCACTGTGTCGGCGTACACAAAATGTCGTCGATCCAGATCAGCATATTCTTGTAGAGCAGGTCTTTGTAGCACTCCTCGTTCGTTGATTGTACGTAGAGGGCACTGTCCATATGGCCTTGCATCACTCGATCCGGGGTGTACACACATCCGTTCAGCATGAACGACAACATGTCCCAGCTGTCTGGGTGCAGTGGGAACTGCCAAAAGCACTTGGGCAAGTCCAACACGCCCATCGCTTTCTTGCCTCGTAAGTTCTGGAGGATGGTAGCCTGGAACGGCATCGTCCCCGCCTTCGGCTCGGTTAGCGAGTTGACAACTCGGTAGTCGTTGGTTAGCCGATAGTTCTTGAGCACATCATCGTCGCTCCATTTGTCGGCCGACTTCAATGACTTGCGCCCATCTGGTTTGAGAACTGGGTTCACCGGGCTGCACCATCCACTTTGCTGGTTGCTCTTGATCACGCCTGCATCGAGTAGTTCTTGTGCAAACAACTTGAGGAACCTCTCCTCCAGGAGGTTGTGCTTCCTTCCTTTGCATCGGTAAGGAACACACCCATCCTTCGGGGTCACCCTTAACGGCTTCACCTTCGCCGGTGGGTCTGACCCGTCGAACTTGGTTCGCCAGATGTCATGCTTGCTGAGCACATCCCACAAGTACTAAACATGTTCCATTGGAAATCCGTTATCGACTGAGCCGTCGATCATGCCTTGCAGGGCCTCCTCGACTTCATTCTTGGCTACAGGTAGCACTGCCTTTATGGTCGCGGCTCTGACGGCCGATCGTTGGGGCAATTCGACGCAATCGCCACCAACTTCTTCCAGGTCATCGCCGTCCTCATCCACTTGCAGGCGCGCCACCTGTTCCAAAAGGCGGTCAATGTCGATACCAATGGTCTTGAGGGTGTCATCCGAGACGAGGAATTCATCGCCGTCGTTGACCACATAGCAGCGGCGCTTGGCTGGCACCTTGACTGGTCCAGCGGCCGTCTGCATTGATAGCGTAAGGTCCACGTAGGAGCTCGCTTCGAATGGCATCTGATTGCATGCTGTTCCCACAAATGGCGCCGCCAACTTAAAAACTTGAAGTTGTGGCTGTAACGATTGAAGTTTATCCACCATGGCTTGTGGCACAATGTTTTGGTCTACGCCGGTGTCCGGGCAGTATGGAACTTCCAGCACACTGTTCAGCCGTACCCAACGTCCATCATCCTCCATGCTGGGCGGTGGGGGTTTCTTCATTCGCTTGGCTTGCATATTCGCTTTGCGTTCCCGCGCCTTGAACCGCTTGACGGCGTTCTTGCCCTTCTTCCAGCTTGTATCGCCGCTATACCCGTCTTTTTTATTGGGACTCTCCCGGGCCATATGTCCTGGCTGCTGGCAGACAAAGCACAGCATGCCGCGGTCATCCCGGCCAGGTGCAAATCGAGGGCGTGCTTCATCACGCACAGCTTGGACATGTCGGTCGTCGTGTCTTGGGCGCGAGTTCGCTTGTGGTCCGTACTTTGTGGATGGTGGGTCCCTCGTTCGCTTTTGCGTCGACGGGGACCACACCGCCGCACTTCGTTCCGGCTTGATGTATCCACCTGGTGGACGTGGGTAATTTCCTCTTAATTCACGCTGATCTCGAACAGTTTGGTTGGCCTTCTTCGCATGTTTCGTAATTCGGTGCCCTTGGTCGTCTTCTTCACGGCCACGATTCGAACCATAGCTGTTTCTGTGTTGATTGACCATGTCCGCATCATGCGTTCGGTGAAGCTGCTCGCGTAGGATATCCGCAAAGGCCACCAGATCGTTCGCCAGCACGGTCTTCATTTGCTCTTCCACTCTGTCGCGTACTCGTCGATGACATCATGAACCCGCTCCATAAATGACACCAGGCGACTGGTCACGTCTCCATGGGGGTCGACACTCAGCGCCCGACAGTAGGCTTGCATGTCTGACTTGGTAGTTGCCCACTTGGTCGCTGGTTGTCCGCCGATATCCATGATGCGGTCGCGGTAGTCGTCCTCACTGTGTTGTTCCACAGGCACTCGCCAAACATAGGTGCATGTAGCCTTCAGGAGGCTGCGGTCAGTGGAAGGGGCACATCACTCCGTCGCCACTCGCCGCCCATGCGTTGCGCATTCGCCCGTAGCTTGTCCTCATATGTCTCTCGCTTCTTCACCCAACGTACTAGGAAGGTTCTGTCCATACAGGTGATCCGAGGGGGTTGAACATCTGTCACCACCAATGAAGGTCCACTGGGTTGAAGTTGGGCCCCCATCCTCCGCTGCTTGGCGTCGGTGGTCCACTTGAACGAGGTCCCCATCCCGAACTGCTTGGCAGGGTGGTGTCCAGCATCCGTCGATCATGGGCCGCACGCGCCACTTTGGCATGGTCGTCACGCTACTCCTTTGGGGGACGATTGGCTTTGTTGATCCGCCGCCGCTCAGCTTGCTTACGCTGTTCTTCTTGGTATTCCTTTTCTTCTTCCTCACTGTCAGGAGTACTGTCCGGTCGATTCCGTCGTTCCGCACGTAGCTTAGCTCGAGCTTCCGCCTTTTCTTCTGCTCGCTTCTCGGCATCGGACTTCTCTGGCGGCGGTTCGGTCCCATGGTCTGTCCGCCATATCGACGCCGCGATTCATACCAGGTCATGGATGCCGCTCGCGCGCTACCCGTGACCTTGTTCGCCTTGGCCAGCTCTTCCATCGTCTTCCGAACTTCTTCGCTCTTGGACTCTTCCACAGCCGGCAGCTCATCCGTGGTCCCTCCAACTACCGGCACCAACGGTGGCTCCGTCACTGGTACTTCCTCCTCAGTTTCATTGCTCGCAGTTGTTGGCGCCGTTGCGGCAGCCTTCGGCATCTGGGCGCGATCTTTCGACTTCCTCGCCATTGCTCTCAGTTCCGTAGGTCACTGGAACTAAAGTATACTTTGTGTTGTTTCCCACACCAGTGCCAACACAAACACCCAAATGGGGGAGTGCCGACTCCCTGCAAACCACACATTTGATTGACTTGATGTTAGCACGGCGTTGCAGAATCAAGAGTGAGATCCCGGCAGTTGGGTGGGACAGGTGTTCTGTTTTCTACGTCCTAGTACTACTAGTAAGACTATGCCTTTTCGTGTCGGTTCGCCTAGGGTCGGCACCTGGTGGCCTCGGTTGAGGACCACCTGGGTCATGGTGGGACTTGAGATGGGAGCCAAGCACAAGGTGTCTAAAGCGGCAGTGTCCATACACGCGTCATAGAACTCGGCGAGTTTAGGCAGCTTGCTGTCCACCAGTTTTTCGACCAGCTCGTGCGCCGCAGCCTCGATCGCGGTGTACGTGGTATCGGTTCTACTTTGGTTGGCGTCGAGGGTGGTTTTATTGTACCACGTCCCCCACGAATACGAATAGAAGTCGGTGCATGGATCCACGGTTTGATCCATGAGACTGGTCAGCTCTGTCGGAAACTCGGAGATGGTGCCGAAAGCAGACGCGACACCGGCGGACAAGGCAGCCACAATGATCTTGACCATGGCTGGCATATTGAAGAATGACCAAGCGACCAAACAAGCTCGCGAATGGTGACTACTATATTACCGTCGAGCTGCAATCACGCCCAGGAAGGAAACCACTACAATAAATAGATTTGTCATATTCGCATGATCAATGAAACTGCAAACAATGACTCTACGGGTGGATACTTGGGCATTCGCAACGTGCAACAATGCTCTTGAATGAGAAAAGACGCCGTTGATCCAACACATCACAATGACCGATTAATAAGGTTAATCTACAAGGACAATACATTGCGCAGTGTCTTTAGTTTCATAGCGTTGTGCGTCAATAAATAGGATATATCTCATGGACCGAGTTGCACCAATAAACATATGGCTTGCATTATTTGAGGGTTAGATTGTCGTAGCATTTGTAGTTTTGATCGTGGGCCACTCGTTTCAGCCGACGGATGGTTGCCTCTGCCCTTTACCACACTACTGTACAGAAATATTGTCTATGATTGTACATTACTTGAAGTAACGTTATACGAGATTATTTGAAAACTATGCTTCACTTGATTTTCAAACGTTAGTAATTTATAGTTTGAAGCCTTGATGACCTCCCGTTCCACCGACAGTGGATGCAAGGTGTACATTAATATACTACGTTTCGTGCTGGAATCGTTGCTTGCGAACGCAGAGCACAGTTTCGTACTTGGGCCTTCTAGCTTCTGCAAGCAGAATATGTGATTGAAGACGAAGAGATAAAAAAACTGCGTTAAATCGGCCCAGTGGAAAATTTCTTTGCATTCGACTCAGCACAGTATGTGTACTTTTTTCATAATTTT